TATATTATATCAAATCATCATGTATCTGTTGGATGAAAGTATCTTAAAGTATACACTTATATAAAGGTGTATTTTTATTAAAAATTTTTAAAGGTAAAGAATAGTTTAAAATTGGCTATATTAATATAGTTATTCAAAAAATATTTATACCTACTCTGGAGGAGTGGTTCTATATAAATAGTGTCACCTCAACCTTAAATAATTTGGAGGACCCTCTTTAGAAAAAAAGAATACATAATTATACATAAACAGTTGTATACTAGACTATGGAAGGAGATCATGCAAATAAGGGGCCATGAAAAATAAACTTCATTAACCTGATGATATCTCTCATCTCTTATTCCAATGTAGGAATACAGATTTTGTATGCAATATTTATTCCTTTAGGGAAGCTGTGGAATTCTCATCATGTTGTATAAGTTTGCTTGACATGAGCTGGTATTGACTACATGCAGAAAAATAATATTCTATACTTTGAGAGACTTTCTGATATCCCTTAGTCATGTTGGGACTGTTCCATGTATGTATTTCTAAATAAATAAAGTGCTGTTTTAAAAAATGAAAAAAAGAATAAAAAGCCAAAGAAATAGAGTTAAAAATAAATTGTTATAGTGTCAGCAGTTTAGCATTTTGTACATGTAGGTATTCTTTGTATAGTTTGATATTTATTTTCTAAAATGTGATATGTAAAAATGAAGTATCCATCAATAAGTTTCCTACAATAAAAATAAAAATGCCTTTAGTCATCCACTGGGAATAAATGAAAGGCTCATCAGCAAGTTTCTGTATGTAGAGTTCCATGAAGTTGATTTATTTTATATCCCAAACTGTTATATCCATAATTGCTTTTATAAGTTACATTATGTTAATGAATCCATTTATATGTAAAGTTATTAGTTTATTTTCATTTTGATATAGATAGTGACTACTATTTTGCAGGAAGTTTGAGACTTGATAATTGATGCTTGTATTTTACTATATGGAAGTACCTTTATATATGTTAATTAAATTAATTCACTTTATAGCTTAATAATCTTTTAAGATTGCTAAATACAATGGGTGAGCAAGGGTCATTATTAGAGAAGAAGGAAGAAGGAAGAACGTTGAGTTGACATCCATAATGAACAAGTATCTTTTTCTCTAAGATAGGTTTAAACTCATGCTACAATTCCACTTCAAATGTATGTCTTCCTCAGTTTCTAGTTGACTATAAGGCATTAAACACAAAACATTGTTCTTACTAATACATACAAAAATAACAAAGGATCAGGAAATGCCAGGTAAATTGAAATAGCAGAGAATAGGATTATGCAAACAACTTGTATTTTGTTCTCTAGTCCTGAATAAAAGGAGCAGCAAAAGCAGTTCAGACTCTAATTTTAATGTAGGTCCTGATTTTTTTCACGCAATTTTTGTGCAGAGTTGCTAGAAAACAAGAAATAGATCTGTGTTTTGCTCACTTCTACTTTTATCTGCCCCTGGGTGTCCTTGTTGAGGATTTAATAATATAAAATGACAAAAAAGATAGATATAAATGGTTAACTTTTAAGTAAATTAAAGTTGATCAGTTCTGTTCTTTTTATCATTTGAGATTTTCCAATCAAGAACAATAAAAGGACACTAAAAATAATGGAACGCATTAACAAGTCCCCCTGGTTTAAAGAAGAGGAACTTGTGTTCAAGAGAAGTGCCTTGGCTAAGGTTGTGTAACATGTCAGTAAGAGATATTAAGCTACTCCACTACACCATGGTGTCCCAATTAATTGCCCCATTAGAATGAAATGCTATCAGAAAATAATTGAATTCCTGGGTGTAAGGATGTATTTAATTTCATCATGAGATGATGGAAAATGCTGTTAACTAATAAATGCATGAAGCTTAAGAATATTCACTTGAGGAAAAGTGTGGTAAGCAGATACGGAGTTGGAAATAGCTTTAAAAAGACTCTAATACAGATCAGTTCTTTTATTTTACAAATGAGGAAACAATGAAGATTAAGTGATTTGCCCAAAACATTACAAACAGTTCTAGAACAACTATGATAAGGCAGCTGTATTACATGGTTAAGAACCTACATTTTAATGCCAGGCCTCCTAGGTTGATATTTTAGCTTTTATAATAGTTATCTGACCTTGGGCAGGTCATACAATTTCTTTGTACTTGAGGTTCCTCATCTGTTAAAATGGTATGATAATAATACTTATTAAATTTATGAGGATTAATAATATACGCAAAACACTCAGAACACTGCCTAGCAGGTATAGGTGTTCAGTAAATGTTTCTGTTACTAAAAGGCTTTGATCTAATGCTATATTTAAATACTGTATTTTGTAGTTAACAAAAATTTTTACCTTGATTTGCTCAGCTAGTGAGAGAACCTCAGTGGGACATTTGATGTCTACCATTCTCACCTAGTGTTTTTTTCAATCATACCAAATTGTTTCTTTTGTTTCAGTTTTATTATTGTCAACAACTGTGAAAGGCTTTTTTGTTTTATTATAAATAGTTTTAACATTTGAATATCAAGACAAGTGAAAAACAAATTTGCTTCATCTTTAAAGCATGTTTAACAAAAAGTGTTCATTTTATCATCACCATTGCCATTTGCTTTTATAAAGAGAAATGACAAAAAAATCATTGCTATTTTTATTCACTATTTTAAGCCCATATATGTATATTTTGAGTAATTGTACAGTAGATATTGAATGAGTTATACTTTTTCATTTTGCTGCTTATTTAATGTTTCAGTTTAACTTTAGGGGCAGTGATCATATTCATTTTAAAATTGATTAGACAATTTAACTTGGAATTTAACAATGGATATGGCTGAGAGAGATAAGTCTACAAAGAGTATGAAGCATTAGTCTTGTTCTTTTTTTATGTGAGAAGTGCCAGAATTTTATGTTTGTCTGTAAACTGGAGAATCTGGAGGTATATGTGAAGGGTCAGCACCACAGAGATAGTTTTGGTTTCACACAAAAACTCAAAATCCTAAAATTCATGAGCATTGTAAATTAAAAGCACTCAAATTGTTTTGAATATTAGTGTCTTAGACTTGAGAGTATGTCATTCCAGGGTGATTATATCCCTGCTTTTAACCACATAGATTCCCTTTACAGAGAGGAAAAGTTTTCATTAGTAATCAGGTGCCAATGTTCCTTGTGGAACTGTTTTCCTAATATTACGATAGTTGAGTTTTTACATCCTCCCTTTGTAACTTCTAACCTCTGAAGTAATGAGAGGCTGTGAAAAAACATTTGGTATCAGGAGGTTTCAGTAGTGCTGCAGTTGGTTAAATAAATGCAGTTTCATCATTGCTGAAGAATAAAAAAGTATCTCATAAAACTTTCTTGAAAAATTATTTTTTTTAAATTTATTTATTTATGATAGTCACACACACAGAGAGAGAGAGAGGCAGAGACACAGGCAGAGGGAGAAGCAGGCTCCATGCACTGGGAGCCCGATATGGGATTCGATCCCGGGTCTCCAGGATCGCGCCCTGAGCCAAAGGCAGGCGCCAAACCGCTGCGCCACCCAGGGATCCCAACTTTCTTGAAAAATTAATTGGAATTCTTATAATAAAGAAGTACTGTTACATGGATTTAAACTCAGGAAATGTAATCACAGAATAGATATTTTAAGATCCAAAATCATATTGAAATGCCATTTGGATACTATGGTTATTGGGACAGTATGCTTTTAAACATTTTTATTAATGATTTAGATGTGAAATAACTATGAAAATGTGCAGATAATCAGGATGTGCTATAAGCATAAATGTAAGAGAAATAATTCATAAAGAGAGGCTTAAGGATTAGCTGCATAGGTGAGGTAATAAAAAAGTGATATATTGTGTAAAAATACAACCAGAGGGTTGTAGAGAGTTGTAATACACCAAGCCAGGATAGCAACTTAAAAGATTAAATAACACCTTAAAGACAGGAAATTAGATAGGATCAGCAAAGTAATTTGGCTTAAAAAAAAAGGTAAGAGTATATTCAATACAGAAGCATGGGGTAATTTACAGAAGCATGGGGTAATTTACAGCATGGGGTAATTACTCTCTTTCAACATATATGAATTTACTAGAAACTTGCATAGAGGTTGAAAGATGATGACGGAGAAGAATCCTAGGCTTACCTTGTCTCAGGAATTCAACTAGGTAACTATCAGATCATCCCAAATACCCCAGAAATTGACCTAAAGACTGGCAGAACAAACCCTACAACTAAAGGAAAAGAAGAAGCTACATAGAAAAAGGTAAAATGTGTGGAGACACAGTTTAGGAGGAAAATGGATGGTGACTACTGCAGTGAGGAGGGAGCCACAGTCATGGAGAAGGGTGAGAGAACACACTAGCACATAAGAGCACACACAGAAAAAGAACCCCATGGAATCAGCTTGGAAAGTGAAAGGGACTCAATTTAATGAGTTTTTATAAGCAGCAGGACTTAAGGCCTGGAGTGTTAAAGGTCAGTAGGAAAGAGGCCAGAGGGCACTGAGGCTGCCCTAGGAGAGAGTACAGGAAAACAATCTCACACATACAGCATGGAAACAGTGATCTAAAGAATGCCTGGGGCACACAGTGGGGAGGATATTTGCTTATCTTGGAGGATATTTGCACATCCCAGAGAGGCATTGTTCATGGAGAGACACCACTGTGAACAAAGAAACTGGCCAATGCCATTTCCCTCCCTCAGCCTTCAGCATAAGCATAAGGCCATCTTTGGAAAACAGTACAGCGCTAACATTCACCAAGTAACACTAGGCCCTGCCCCCTCCACACTCCAGTGGAACCACCACTCCTGGGCAGATTTGCCTCAGTCCCAGCGTGGCAAGCCCCTTCCAGAAGGCCAGCTCATCTGTCACTGTGTCTCCTGACAAGGAAGTTTTGTGGTGCCTCAGTTTTGATGGTGGTGGTGATAGGTCTCATTTCACAAACAGATCTAGTTAAAATGTACCACATTCAGGGGTTCAGCCGTGGGCTCCGAGCGGCCCCTGCCCAGATGGCAGCAGTAGTTCTAGGGGGAGACACCATGGGCCCCGAGCATATTTTCCCCAATCAGACTGAGGAACTGGGGCCACACCAGGGCCCTACAAAAGGCACTGGGGATTGGAGCAGCGAGGAGCCTGAGGAAGAGCGGGAGGAAACGGGGGCAGGCCCAGCTGGCTACTCCTATCAGCCCCTGAACCAAGATCCTGAACAAGAGGAGGTGGAGCTGGCACCGGTGGGGGGTAGTGAAGATGTAGTTGCTGATATTCAGGATTGGATCCAGGCGCTAGGGCTTCATTTGCCAGACCCACCAGTAGACAGCAACGATGAAGAAGAGGAGGGAGCTACCGGACTGAGCAACCACAGCTCTATTCCCATGGACCCGGAACATGTGGAGCTGGTGAAAAGGACGATGACTGGAGTAAGCCTGCCTGCACCAGGGGTTCCTGCCTGGGCTCGAGAGATCTCAGATGCCCAGTGGGAAGATGTGGTACAGAAGGCCCTCCAAGATTGTCAGGGAGCCCCAGCCTGGAAGTGACTACCCTAAGAGCTGCCTTATCTCCCTGCATTCCAGGCCAGAACCAGCATAGGACTGAACACCACGTCTCTGGTTGTATGTCCATCTCCATCTTCCCCCTCTCCCTTTCCACATCAAGGCAGATCAGACTTCTTCTCAGAGACCCACTTTATTCAGTTCTGTACATATGGGGACATTGGCCCAAGCCCAACCCATCTTAGCATGTATCACTCTATGGAGAATAAAGCACCCTATGTACACAGCCAAAAAAAAAATGTACCACATTCAGACCAGGGACCAAACAGTACCCACAACAGGGGAAAGAGAGCCTCTGCAGTTTATTGGCTTGAAGCATAAAGTGGCCAGGACAAAATAGCAGAGTACACACAGCACACACATTGGAGACCTTCTCGGGAGTGTTAGGCTCAAGGCACTCCAGGATCTCTTCTTCATAAAGCTATTAACCTCAAGAACAGGAGACATAGCTGACTTTACACTAACACAGAGAAACAGGCATCAAAACTTAGACAAAATGGGAAGACAGAAAATTATCCCAAATGAAAGACTGGATGAGGCCACAGTCAGAGAGCTAAGCAAAATAGATAACATGCCTGACAGAATTTAAAGTAGTAATCATAAGGCTATTCACTGGACTTAAGAGAGGAAGACATTAGTGAGACCCTTAACACAGAGATAAGGAATAACATAGCGGAGATAAAGGGCTCAATAAATGAGATGAGAAACGTGCTTGATAGAATGAACAACAGGTTGGAAGAAGCAGAGGAACAAATTAGCGACCTGGTAGACAGAGTAATGGAAAGTAATCAAGCTGAACAAAAGAGAGAAAAAAGAATTATGCATAATGAGAATAGACTTAGGAAACTCAGTGACTCCATTAAACATAATAACATTTATGTTATGGGAATCCCAGAAGAAGAAGAGACAGAAAAGGGGGCAAGTAATTTATTCGAAGAGACAATAGTTGAAAACTTCCCTAATCTGGGGAAAAACAGATATCCAGATCTGAGACGCACAGAGAACACTCATCAAAATCAACAGAAGCAGACATATAACCAAGATATTAATTAAATTTGCAAAATATAGTGTTAAAAAATTTAAAGCAGTAAGACAAAAGAAAAACAGTACCTTACAAGGGAAACCCATAAGGCTAGCATGAGACTTTTTCAACAGAAACTTTGCAAGCCATGAGAAAATGGCATGATATATTCAAAATACTGAAAGGGAAAAATCTGTAGCCAAAACTACTCTATCCAGCAAAGCTATCATTCAGAATGGAAGGAGAAATAAAGGATTTCTCAGACAAACAACCCTAAATGAGTTCATGACCACTAAACCATCCTGCAAGAAATATTACAGGGAACTCTGAGTAGTAAAAAAGAGGCCAAAAGTGAGATTATAAAGGTAGAAAACAAAAGAGAGGCAAGAATATTCCTGTAAAATATCAGTCAAGAAGCTCACAAAATTAAAGGATAAAATGTAGCAACATATGCTTAGAACATGGGGAGAAAAGGAGAAAAGAATGGGTTCAAACTTAAACAACCATCAATTTAATAAAGGTCGCTATGTGCAGAAGAGGTTATATGTAAACCTAATGGTAACCATATATCAAAACCCACTAATAGATAAGTAATGTGTAAAGGTAAAGAAATCCAAATATATCTCTAAACAAATGAACTAGAGAAAGTAATGAAAGAAAGTTAAAAAAAAATCAGATAATCTTCAGAAACAACTATAATGAAATGATAAATAAATATATATTATCTGTAATTACCTTAAATGTAAATGGGCTAAATGCTGCAATCAAAAGACATAGGCTAGACAGAATAGATTAAAAAAAAAAGCCCATCTATATGCTACCTACAAGACCTAATGACACCTGCAGATTGAATGTGTGAGGATGGAGAAAGTTTATTATGCAAATGGATGTCAAAAGAAAGCCAGAGTAGGAATACTTACATTGTACAAACTAGACTTTAAATAGACAGAGAAGGATACTATATAATCATAAGGGAGACAATCCAACAAAAAGAGATAGCAATGATAAATATTTATGCATTCAATATTGGCACGCAAATACATAAAACAGTTAATAACATAAAGGAACTAATCCATAGTAATAAAATATAGTAGGGGATTTTAACACTCCACTTGCATCAATGGACAGATAATCTAAACAGAAAATAAACAAGGAAACAGTGGCTTTGAATGACACATTGGATCAGATGGATTTAACAGATATTTAGAACATTCCATCCTAACACAGCAGAATACACATTCAAGTGCACATGGAAAGTTTTTTAGAATAGGCCACATATTAGGTCACAAAACAAGCCTCAACAAGTTCAAGAAGATGAAAATCATACTATGCCTCTTTTTGGACCACAACACTATGAAACTAGAAGTCAACATAAAAAAAAAAAAAATCTAGAGGGATCCCTGGGTGGCGCAGCGGTTTAGTGCCTGTCTTTGGCCCAGGGCGTGATCCTGGAGACCCAGGATCGAATCCCGTGTCGGGCTCCCGGTGCATGGAGCCTGCTTCTCCCTCTGCCTATGTCTCTGCCTCTCTCTCTCTCTCTCTCTCTCTCTCTCTGCGACTATCATAAATAAATAAAAAATTTAAAAAAAATCTAGAAAGACCACAAATACATGGAGGTTAAATAACATGCTACTAAACAATGAGTGGGCCAACCAGGAAATTAAAGAAGAAATTTAAAAACCACATGGAAACAAATGAACATGAAAACACAGTGGTCTGAAACTTTTGGGATAAAGGAAAACTGGTTCTAAGAAGAAAGTTTATAGAAATACAGGCCTACTTTAAGAAGTGAGGAAAATTTCAAATAGACAGTCTAACTTTTACACTTAAAAGAGCTAGAAAAAGAACAACAAACAGAACCTAAAACCAGAAGAAGGAAGGAAATAATGAACATTAAAGCATAAGTAAATTATATAGAAGCTAAAAAACAAAATACATGTAGAACAGATCAATGAAATCAGTAGCTACTTCTTTGGGAAAAAAATCAATAAAATTGATAAACTTCTAACCATACTTCTCAAGAAAAAGAGAAAGGACTCAAAATCACAAATGAGAGAGGAGAAATAACAACCATTGCCAAAGATATACAAACAATTGTAAGAACATTATGAAAAACTGTCTGCTAACAAATTAGCCTAGAGGAAATGAATAAATTCCTAAAAACATATCAACTACCAAAAATGAAACAAGGAGAAGTAGAAAACTTGAACAGACAAATTACCAGCAATGAAATTGAGTCAGTAATCAAAAAACTCTCAACAAACAAAAATCCAGGACCAGAAAGCTGCATTAGGTGAATTCTACCAAACATTTAAAGAAGAGTTAATACCTATTCTCAAACTATTCCAAAAAATAGAAAAGGAAGAAAAATTCCAAATTCATTTTACGAGGCCAGCATTTCCTTGACACCAAAACCAGATAAAGATACCACTATAAAAAGAGTACTATAGGCTAATATCCTATGTTTATCCATAAACACAAAACCTTCAACAAAGTACAAGCAAACTGAATCCAACAGTATACTAAAAAAAAAAGTCATTCACCATGATAAAGTGGGATTTATTTCTGAGTTGCAAAGTTTGTTCAATATTCACAAAAATCAATCAAGGTGATATGTCACATCAATAAGAGAAAGGATAAGAACCATGCAATCATTTCAGAAGATCCAGAAAAAGCATTTGACAAAGGTACAACATCCATTCATGATAAAAACCTTCCACAAAGGAGGTTTAGAGGAAACATATCTTAACATAATAAAGGCCATATATGAAAAACCCACAGCTTAACATTATCCTTAATGAGAAAAAACTGAGATTTTCCTGTAAGGTTAGGAACAAGACAAGGATGTCCGTTCTCACTATTATTCAATGGTACTGAAAGCCTTACCCACAGCCATCAGACAAAATAAATAAAAGGCATCTACATAGTAAGGAAGAAGTAGAACTTTCAGTATTTGCAGATGACATGATACTATATATAGAAAACCTGAAAGATTCCACCAAAAATATCCTAGAACTGATCAATGAAATGAGTAAAGTCACAGAATACAGAATCAGTATACAGAAATCTATTGCGTTTACAATTGCACTAAAAATAATAATATACTTAGGAATAAACCTAACCTAACAGGTGAAAGACTTGTACTCTGAAAACTATAAAACACTGATGAAGTAAAATCAACAGAACACAAATAAATGGACTAGAAGAACAAATATTGTCTATACTACCCAAAGAAATCTACACATTTAATGCAATCCCTATCAAAATACCAACATTTTTCACAGAGCTAGAACAAACAATCCTAAAGTTCGTGTGGAAAAATAAGACCTTGAATAGCCAAAGCAATCCTGAAAAAAAAAAAAAAAAAAAAAAACCTAAACTGGAGGTATCACAATTCCAGACTTCAAGTTATATTATGGAGCTGTAGTAATCAATAGGCACAAATCAATAGGCACAAAAATAGGCATATAGATCAATAGAATGGAATAGAAAACCCAGAAATAAACTCACAACTATACGATCAATTAATCTTCAACAAAGCAGGAAACACTATCTAGTGGGAAAAGGATAGTCTCTTCAAGGACTGGTGTTGGGAAATCTGGACAGCAACATGCAATAGAAAAAAACCTGGACCACTTTCTTACACCATACACAAAAATAAAATAAAAATGGATTAAAGACCTAAATGTGAGACTTCCTGAGAATATAAAAATCCTAAAAGAGAAGACAGGCAGTGAGCTCTTTGACATCAGTTGCAGCAACTTTCTAGGTATATCTCCTGAGGCAATGGAAACAAAACCAAAAGTAAACTGTTGGGACTACATCAAAATAAAAAGGTTCTGCACAGTGAAGGAAACAATCAACAAAATGAAAAGGCAACCTACAGAATGGGAAAAGATATTTGCTAATGACATAACTTAAACAACTCAGCACCTCAAACCCAAATAATCTAATTAAAAATGAG